CGACGGGGTTTGATACCGGCAAGAAATTTAGAGGTAACATTGATTAAACTAATTCCTCTGTGGTTTTCACAGGAGGATCTGTCACCTTGTAAATCGGTATGATCACCGATTCACACCATTCAGTTGGAACCTCTTCCCTCTCCCACACTGAGCCCAGGAGTTTTGTTAACTCCAAAACCAAGGCTGAGCCTCCATTCTTAAAAACGGGACCGGAAGGCTTATGCCGTTTGAGGTGACTTATTTCCCGGGCAACCTCCATGCGCAATACATGTCCTAACCAGCGAAGCCGACTAATTTGAATTCGATGAGACAACGAATTCTCCATCGAATCAGATACGCGACGCCTCACCTCAGAGTTGCTTACAAGCTCGCTCCATCCAACCCGCGCCAAACTACATAGACATCTGCAGTCGTATACTTCAAGACGACGAATATCTCCCACGCGCAAATTTAGGGTCTCGTAACCATAGAGCAGAACTGGCTGCACACTGGCACAGTATATACGACCTTTTAGTTTCAACGAAATATCGCGTCTGCACCAAAGATGTTTCAATCCTGCGTAAGCTGCTCGAGCCTCGGAAATGCGGGCGGTTTCTTCATTGACTATGCTGTCATTTGAAACTCAGCTACCTAAGTAGATGAAACTACAGATAATTCTTGACCATCAAGCATCAGAGCTGGGGTAGACGACACCCTGTCTTGTAGCATGCCGAAAGGAGATACAGAACTTGCTAGTCTGTCAAGAGCGTATTGCGCATCCTCCATAGATTCGAACAGGCATACGATGTCATCAGCGTACTCTAAATCGCACAGCTTTTCTCCAGTTGCCCATTCAATACCTACGTTCTGGAGACCAGTAAGTGCGTTCTCCAGTACTTCGTTTACGACGAAATTGAACAGGAATGGCGAAATAGTGTACCCTTGACGGACACCGCTCCTGGTTTTGAACGATTTACTTACCCCACAGTAGACCCTTACGCTATCAGAAGTATGCAGGTACAGCCATCGCAATAGATTTACATACTTCCGCGGCATTCCTTTGCGGAGCAGCGACCACGTAAGAGCTTCACGGTCAACGGAATCGAAGGCTCCTTTTAGGTCAAGGAACACTGCGATTGTTGGCCGACGATGTGTGTGACGCAGTTCGAGGACTTGACGCTGAGTGAAGATTTGGTCGATGCACCCGCGACCTGGTCGGAATCCGGCTCGTTGTTCGTGGATGTTCCTCTCCCTTGAGGGTGTCAGGCGGCGAAGTATCACAGAAGTCAACACTTGTGATTATCGAAACTAAACTAATCCCACGGTGGTTAGCACAGTCGTTGAGTGATCCCTTCTTGAAAATAGGGACAATCGTCGGTTCACCCCAGGACAAAGATATACGCTCCTCCGTCCAAATGCTACGAAGTAAGTTAGTAATTACGTCGACAAGAGAATCTCCGCCCGCCTTACAAAGAATAAGGAGAAGCCCATCAGGTCCCGCAGCCTTTCCTTTCTTTAATGATTGAATGCAGCTTAGTACTTCCGATTCTGA